GTCCCCCAAAATGCCAGATACTAATTCTGATTTTGTCTTGGGCTTCACAACTCTGCGAATATACTCTTTTAGCTCGTGCCACAAGTTCTCTATGGGGTTTAAGTCCAGAGACTCAGCTGGTGTCTTCCACCAAGTAGCATTGTTGCTCCCAAGCCAATTTTTCGCTGTTTTTGACGCATGCTTAGGGTCATTATTTTGCATGAAACGAGGATTGTTGTCGATATTAGTTAGATATGGTATAAAGCCAGCAGTGAGAACTTCTATGAAGCCAGCAGCATTCATTTTACCATCAAAAATTACAATAGGAGTTTTCCCTTTGCAACTGATTCCTGCCCAGACATGAACTTTTACTGGGTACTTAGCTCTATTAGTAAATAATAATAACTATTAAAAGTTACAAATTTATTATACTGCTGCATATACAGTGTACATACAATGTACTGTACATACATGTATAACATACTGTACATTTACATAAAATACATAATACATACATACATGTACATTTACATGTACATGTAAGTGACATACATGTACATGAACAGGTACATGTACATTAAATGTAGCTAACCATGGCTTTAGTCTTGCTGGAGTTCCTTGCTTTCGACAACAGAAATGATGATGACATTCCAGCATCACACTACACTCATCAGTCCATAGGACATTCAGAAAGCCACCATCACTGCATGCTTCTTGTACGTGCTCTTGTGCCCAGCGAAGTCTGTTCCCCTTGTTGACCTCTCTAATCAGCTGGCAGTAAGTGCTGCCACGAAAGGTCCATCCTAGTTTCTCCCTTGATCGTAGAATGGTCATTAAAGTAAGAGGATGACCATTGTCAGCAAGGATTCTTTGAAGCTGAATTGCAGTTGTTTCATCGTCAAGCTGCATTTGATTCTCAACTATTCTTAGTACATCAGGAGTAATTTTAGTAGGACATCTAGATCCTGCATATTTAGATCACATAGAGTATATATGGGATCAAAATTTGTCAACAAACCTAGTTTACGAGCAATGTTCCCAGTTTCACGATACTTTCTTAATAGCCGACAAACTGCACTAACTTTAACTTTCAACCCTTCATCCTTCATTATTTCAACAATGCTTGTAGACCTATAACCTAATGCTACAATACAATGTACATGTACATTGTATCTAGCCTTGTAGACTTACAATATAGATGCACTATACTTTGTTGCTTGTAGACACTGTAAACCATGTTTAGTACACTCTAGAACAGCTTAATTCTCCTATCACACAAGACTAAAGCCTCAACAATAATATCTTTACAGTTACCAAGAAGAAGTCTCAAGCAGTGAAAGATACGCGCCAAAAATAAGCACAGTAACTATAGTGATTGTACATCACGTGAAAGAAGAGAAGCGAAGCACGAACGAAGAGAAGCAAAGCACGGGCGAAGAGAAGCGAAGCACGAGTGAAGCGCAGGGTAACAGTAGCGAAGGATTATTATTACTGTACTGTAACTTTGCAATGCGTTGCTACTGCTACCGTAGTACTGTTTGCTACTGTACTCTACTTAGCCTTTTTTGTGGTATACTGTACATGTATGCTAGCTAAAGTACCCTCATTTACATGTATAATGGTTGTTTGCTTGCGTAATTTTGTTCTACATTCTTCAATGTTTAGTGTTTAACAAAAGGATTTAGTTAAAATGTTAAGCATGATTTTTGCTGATTTTGCTAAAATAATGTAGATGTAAACAATTGTAGGCTTAAGGTAATTGGTAATACATACATACTGTACATGTACATGCATGAATGTGCATGTGTTTGTATGTACATGTAAGCAAGTGAATGTTTGTACATATACATTATTATTAGATCAATTGATATCTCCTGTTGTTACTGGAGACAGACCACCTCCTATTGATGACTTCACTATAACACCAGTTACTAATAACACTGCGATAATGTTCGGAGGCTTTACTGATAATGGATACAGTAATAAACTGTATATGATAAGTTTCACTAAGAAATCAGTGGTGAGTTGCTGAAATGGTACACATTGAAATTACATTGTACACATTGAAATTACATTGTATATGAATAACCCAATTGAAATGACCCTAATGAATTATATTATTATGTTGATTTTATTATTCTTTCAGGATATATTAGAAGTACCTAATCCTGGAGGATCAGTACAATGGCCTGAGGGAAGACTGGGTCATTCCAGTGTACTGATTTCCACTAGCTCAGGACCACACTTACTAGTGGTTGGTGGATCACCTGCCTATGATGTATGGTTACTGGACATTAACAAAAGAAAATGGAAAGAACTGGTAAGTATTATAATGCATGATAATAAAGCATATCAAATGATTGACTAAATTTGTGTGACTGGATTTTAATGAGGTAAGGACTGCCTGATTTGATTTTACTGAAGAGAGAGAACCCTCCCTGGGAATCAATCCTTTTTACCCCATTCACTTTTCACATCAATACTGTCCTGAAGTAAAAATCAAAGTTCACAGGTACTCCCTCATCTCTGGTGTATGAGGTCTAACCCTCATGTATGAAAGGAGGCTTGGTATTATATGTACATCTTATGGCTTCCTATAGTGCATGTAAAGTTGTGCTAGCTTTCTTAATTTGACAATAAATAAACAGTGACATTTGTAGTATTATAATAATCAATGATTATTCAATAATATTAACAAACCACCTATTTATATAATGTAGTATGATGTAATCATGAGTAGTGTGATAAATTGATGTAGTAATGGTGTG